TGACACGAAGCGCGCTCGCGAAAATAACCGAGCCTGGTGTTTCAACGAAGAAACGGGGTGGCTCGCGATTTCACGAATGATTTCACGGGAATGCGTATAACTCCGTGGAAAAGTGGAAAACGTTTCGCGTTCCTCGCGTCGAGTTTTCTTCGGGTAAAAGGGAGATTCTGTTCATCGAGATTCGTCCCAGCTCACCACCCCCCATCGCCACCCCCGTTCGCCAACACGCAAACATTCCGGACCAACGATTCGCGGAACGCATATTTTCTTCCATTTCTCGTCTTTTCCTCGATTTTCTATTTTAAACGGGATTCTTCGAAACGAACGAAAGGATTGAACAATTTTTCAAATTAGAATGCTTTCAAACCATTGTTATAGAAAAACATATTGTATATTTTATGCGGTTCGCAGTATATTTTTAGTTGAATAATATTGAAGTTGTGGTAATATTTGAACCACGGTTCGTTAAAATAATTTTTCAAACAGTTATTTGATTAATTGTATCAATACGACTGTCACAGGAATAAATTCGAATATGTTGTAACTGAATAACTAAAGTGAAAAAAAAAATGATTGCAGCATTGTTACGACTCGTAATTGATTTATCACAAATTGCTGCGATGTTGTTCGCAAACAATATTTATTAGTTTATTATTTTGAGTGAAAATTTATGCATGCACACCTAATGATTTTTTCATTATTATTTTTTATTCCTTATAATTCTACTGAAAATTCGATGTCTTCGATACAACAAAAATTCGTGCAAGTAGCCACGTATCGAGGAAAATCGATGCAGTCAATTTCAAGTGCAATTTATAATGGGAAAAAGTTGATAGCCAGAAGCATAGCAAGAAACTCGAGAACGAAAGAAGAAATTCATAGATGTTATCGAATAACCAGAATATTTCCATTGTAACGGAAATGGCAAAATGTAAATTGATGCAAATTGCTGAAAAGTATCTTTAAGAGTCAACGAGAAACAAAATGGGTAAAAGGATAGCATTAAAAATGTTAGAAATTACCTATATTATTTAGACTACTGTTTGACGTTAGTTTCGAGAAAATTACAATCGAAAATATTTGAATTATACGCGTATCGACTAAATCTTAACTCTGTACAACTCTCCGCAGCTTTGCATCGTGTTTACACGCAACGTGTATAAACTTGCGATAAGTTAGCTGAGCGTTGTTCAGGGAAATGTTTCAAAGTTCAGCCACTATATACCGGCTAGCAGAGCACAGTTTGGACGTAGTTTCAATCTAGTTCGATCTTTTAAGCTAATCACTTTCCCGATTTAATTCTCTGTTCGACACAGAAGTAACTTTCCCATCCTCAAACTGGTTGATTATTTCAGTAGAAATAATAGATACTTAATGCAGGACGCGATATCGGTTCGATACCGGTCCAGTTAGTAGAGCAGAAAACAAGTTAATTCAAAGACAACGATTCTATGTAACTGTGAAGGAAAATTGGGTTTAAAGGAGGTGCATCGATCGACGAGTCTTTAATAGCCAGTGTTTATCGTCAATACTAAACTTCTCAAACGATCTCCGGTATGTTTGAGCAGGAGCGCTCGCTCTGTTGGGCGCGAATCAGGGCTGCGACTTTGATTGCAAGTTCCGCCTAAAGAGTTACGTACATACGCCTGCCAATTACGGAAATATTTCGAGTCTCCTTCAAACTTAATTTTCCGTCACAAAGTTGAACGGCAGAGGCAATGCGTAAAGTGCCTGAATAGTACAAAAAGGATGCCACTTTAACGTCACCTCTAAGACGCATGAACATTCGCTGACAAACCACCAAGTACCATCAATGGAATTTACCAATCCTTTCTCGGGAAATTTGAATCCTGCTTCAGACTACAGAACCATCGGTGATTTTCACCTTTCCCGACGGTAATTGAGTAGACGATCATTTTTCCCGGCCTCAACGACTTCCACCAAATCACCGTCTCGAACGTGCAATTTCATCCGCATCGAGAAGCATTCGGTAAACGCGGTATTCGTGCACGATTTATCAGAAACGCCAAATCTGGTCGCGCACACGAACCACCGTGAAAGCACGCGCGGAAAGGCTTTTTACGGGAAACACGTCACGGTATACGGCTGCGAATTCACTTTTCTAAGCAGGCGCGAAGAACTGGTGAAACGAACAGCACCGTTCTCCGTTCCGATACGATCAACCGGTTCTCTTTTACCGATCAAATTGATGGCGGGCAGGTGCGAGAGGAGGGAATGCTGACCCGATTAACAGTTTCGACGCTAGTGATAATCGATCGATCGTGAAAATTCGCGGGTTTCGATGAAGTCCAGGGACGGTCGGTGACCCTCTTCATCTACGTTCGAGGCCACTCCTCACACTCTCTCGTCGCTTCTCTTCCGAACCGGTTCATCCTTTGTTCCGCAGGGTTTACACTGGAAACAGCCGCTTCACTGCTGTTGTACTTAATTAACGCGCTTCCTTTCAACGCTCGGTCGAGGGCTTAATCTGACAAGCAGCCAGAAACCGGCCGGTGCTTTCACCGCTTGATCATTTCGGCAAACACCGGCAACGCAAACTGATTCGACAAGGAGCACGTCCGCCTCGTTGTCCTCCTCGATGGTTAACGCGTCCGATAGACAACAGAGCGTCGTGACGCATGCATCCCCGTCGAAAAGGCGAATCCAGCACGGAATCGGCACAAAGAACCCATTCGAACAACCGGATAAATGGGCATCACGATCAAAACGGCCACCTATGCCTGGTCTTTCAGCCGCAACCAGTCCCAAACCCTTTTCCGCTCTGCATCGTCGCATCGTTCAACTTGATTAACGCATGCCTCGCTTCCCTCTTGTTCTCATCGACGATTCAATCCGAACAGGGTTTTAATGATTTCGGTAAACAACGCCTGCTACGACAAACAAAGGGAGATTCTGCGTCTGTTGTCGGAGCAGTGGTTGAATAACAATATGATGACGGTTACCGATCAAATTGGATGCGACTTATGACAGCTGGATTTCCAAACTCGGATTTCAGGCGGGAGTAAATTTGGATTACAACGCGATTCTACTGGTACATTGAACTATGTTATATTATATATTAAAATTGTGCGAGTTATTAATCTTCATTCAGATGTAAAATGATTCTATTTTAAAATAAATGTACTGTTCCAATTCTATAACCTTCATTTAAATCCTCTAACAATAATCCTTTTAGCAATTAATGAATTAAGAGAATTAAAAATAATGTATCACCGAACCCCTGTTGGATATTTCGTCTCCATTGTGTTCCAGAAATTTCACTGTACCTGTATTCCTGTCAGCGATACATGAATTTTTAAATGGAAGCTTTGAGGTGATGTTGTAAGACGTTGATAGAGCGTGCAATGAGTCACGACATCGCCTTCAACTTAATGTCACAGCAAGTTACTACCGTACGTGCATGTCCGATTTCTTTATCCATGATATCGTTGTAATAACACCACCGTCTACACGTAGGGTACACACGAACACGGAAAGCATGCGTGCACCCAGCTGATGTAACAGGATTCAGTGCGTGACCAGCAAACGGACTCGGGTATGTAACGGGCAATCCAGTCGGTCGGATAATCAATATCGTGTACAAACGGTAATTTTTACTACAAAGTTTGTGTCTTACGCTAATGACACTCCCTCGGAAAGTTTCGTTCCCAAAACGTAATGTTTCAACGACGAGTTTCTGCGTGAGCTTCATCATTGGAAAACTCATTACTCCGACTTTTTTCCCTGCTTTTTTTCTTCTCTTTCACGAGTTTTCCTTAGTTATTGGAGAATCTCAAACTTCGTAAAATGCAAATTCCAACCCTCTTACCGCAGCAGCGTAGAAATCGCGTTCTATTTATTTTGTATAATTTCGTGAATATTTAATTTTTAAGGCATCTGGCCATTGAGGAATACAATTTTTCCATGAAATAGAATTCAAGTTTAAAGTTTCATTATATACAGGTCTCTGAAAATCTTAGAATAAATTTCCATCGTCCAACGAATTTCTATATTTAATCTTGTAAGAATCTATCGAATCTAAGTGTCGATTCTATCGAATCCAGACACTTAGTAAGGAAACTGTTAGGTTACAAATCGGATCTAAGTAACTTCAAGAAGATATATTAAAATCTTCGATATCAATGATCTGTCAATTTCAATTTATTACAATTTTAGCACTCCATTAGCAAAATTTTAATTAAACGAAGGATGTTTTTAGAAATCTACAATACTTTGATTCGTCAATTTTTCTTATAAATGTCAAATTTGATGCGACATGGGACATGTTAATTAATTGAAACCCTAAAATGGTGCAACTAAATGTGCATCCTTTTGATTGTCCTTTCTCAACCCGTTAAGCCCTCTTTAAACCTGTACCGTCTGAAATAGCAGATAACCGACAACAATGACGAGTACAATGTCAGTATTATACGCCGAGCCTGCGTAGATTCGGTAAGCAAACATTATAGCCGATGCCAAAGTTCATTGTTCTTGTGTACGAAGGGACGAGAAGTACAAGAGACTTGCCCCTCAATCGGCTTAAGTTTGCACTCACACGTGTGTGAAAATTTTCGATTAATTTCAACAGTTAATCTCCGGAAATTAATAATTTTCAATACCCGAGGAGATAATCCGTGTCAACCTAATCCACTTTTTAACTTTACGTTTACACTTGCTTTCGGAATTTACAACTTTTTCGTAACTGTACTTCGGTTTTTTAATGGGTTGTTAGCCCTTTGAGGACGGAACACTTCTAAGCTCAACATTCCATACGCGGCGAATACTTTTTATTTAACGCCTTGAACGCAACGAAAAAGGCGTCGAAAGTTTCAGAAGGGAACGATTTCAGTTAATTTAGCGTACCATTTTTATGAAGATTCATTGGTATAAAGAAAGATTCGGAAGTAGATGCGATATTTTTTGAACTTGTCAAGGTACTTAGTTTAACCCCTCAAGACTTTTGAACTATGGTACACGTTTGTGAGGTCAGATTTACTCACCGCTTCGGTGTGCACAGGATGAGCAGCAAACAGCAAGCCTGCCAGGGCAGCAAATCCTGGGCGAAGAGCTGCCACCACTAGGCTCACCCTTGTGACCAAAACGCATGCAATAGCGTGCAGGGCAATATTCGTCGCATGGTACCAGCTTGGCGTTAATCCTGACATCAGGTAGTTCAATCTGAAAATACAAGATGAAACTGAATTGAAATTCGTTCCGGGATATCCGTGCAATATACGTGAATGTTATAACGCAGTACTGAATATTAATATTGCAAAAAATATTTAATATTAAACTTTACGTAATTCCATATGTTATGATCATTTCATGTAAAGCTGATGCGCAGAGAGAAAGAATGAAAATTATTAAGTTTCTGTATTTAAAACGAGTTCTGGATTAAATAAAGCGTTCATTTTTAATATCACTTTAGAGTACTATTGAACAAGGTTGGATCGGTTTTTGGTGTGCAACGTGAGAGCGAAATCTTGTCTAATTTCGGTCGTTACTTGTACCAAAGTATCACCGTGAACGGTCAATTTCGTTTGACGTTATTGGACGGTAATTGAAATCACCGGCTCCTCGTAACGTAGCTTCGAATGAAACCGGTGAGTTACAGATTGTCCTTAAATAATTGCATCAATTCATGATTTATTTATCTTCGGAAACTTTTAATGGATACATAAATGACTACTTCAAATGCAATTTACTGCAATTTAAAACACGATTTTCAGGCCAGATTTCAACAATAATGCAGTTTGTTTCAAGCTTTTGAAATAACGTTTTGTGTTATAATATTTTCAGAATATGTACAATTATTTCACGGGTGATGTTTGAACTTTAACACTCCATACGGAATAATTCCATAAATTTTTCGCGCAATCGCGGATAATTTTTACTGGGATTAAATAGCTTTTGTTTCATCCCCCGGATACCTTACTCCTCGTTAGTTCTTTTCATCGACCCTTAAATTCGTGCAATTGAAAAACAATGAGCGCCATCGTCTTCCCGTTTGTAAGTACAACGGATTTGAAGCATGGTCGCGACGAAGTTTTCAGAAAAATCCGCTTAAGTCGAGCAAGATAATCGGATTCCGCAACAGTCCGCTGTTCATTCTTTTTTTTTTTTCTTCCAACCCCTATTCACCGCAACCGGTTATACAATTTCTTTCCTTCATTTTGTTTCTTATCCCAGAGAAGAAAGCGACGTCCCGAGTATCATCGTTTAATGAAAGCACATTTCCCGCGAAAGTTCGTAGACGTCTCTCGTTTCCCGGCTATCGATCATCGAATGCTTTATTTCCTTCGATAGACACGCTCGTCGATATTGCTCGAACATCAATTCCAGTTACAGAGGAAACGATAGGAAGGAGGAAGAGGTGCGAAGACGATGAAAGGGGTGACGACAAAGGCGGTGAAATAGGAAGAAGGAAGTGGAAGAAAAATAGGTGAGACAAGCGAGCCACCATCAGGAGGAAAACAAACAGCGTAGCTGCTGACGCGGGCCGGCAATAATTTTGAAAGTCTGCCGACGGCATAAGTTCGACGCCCCTGGCGGCAGCCAACTTTGGCCCTCTTCCAGGTGTCAAGGATCTTGGCCGACCGGAGGCGTATCCCATCGTCTCCTTGGCCCTGGATCAACCAAAGAACTCGGACGCGTCAGTTGCAAGTTTGCACGCAGATTTTACCGCCTAGCTCGATAAATCATTACACTCCGATGTTTCGCTTTTCTCTGTTTATGGAGATTAACAAGTTGCAGATATTAGAAGATGACTAGTAGAGACTCGAGTGTTTTACCTTGCGCATTGATCTGTCGTACAGCGGCAGATCTTTAAAAATAAACTCAGTCGATAAGTTTCTCACCCCTAAGGAAAGAAGAAGAAGTAGCTTGCATCACTTGCCAGACGTTTTATAGAAATCTTTCTCGTCTAGCTTACTCGGAATTTATTAATTCTGTGGTGTTATTTTCCAGGCCAATTTTTCAAGTGACGCTAATGCATAGACCGTGTTATTTATCATATAAATAGAAACTACATTTCAACTCCCAACTAACGCTGTTACTTGTAACACCACGCGCAACAGATCTGTCCGAAGATCAGGCAAATCTCTTTGAACATAAAATATCATTTCATGAATAAATTCGTTTCTGAGCAGGCTCATTCTTGGGGATACAACGATAACCCAGTCGTGTATTCATAAACGGATGCTCTCATTTCCCGCATTCACCGTATGTATTTAACAAACGGAGACCGACGACGGTGTTGAAACATTTCCTAGACGCAATCTCGTCTCGCAAGGCGCTAGGGTGCACTGGAACTCGTGCTCTAAACGGTATGAGGGCTGCATATTTAGGATCTTCCTGTTTGCACTCACAGGACTTCCTTGGCCGTGATGCATGAGTCTCCTGTCGCGTTGTTACACAAACTCCATATTCTGAGCTACCTTCTATTTTCCTTGAATGTTTACAGTATCTGTTGTTTAAATAATATTGTTCGAATTCTCTTTCAAAATTTCATAGACAATCGAGTTAAATTCTCTTTTAGATAATAAAACGTGTCTATCAAAACGCAATCATACATTCTTATTCGAAATGAAATATCAAGGTTTAATCTGGTGCAGCTTCTACGTTACCGTCATAGAGAACGGAATTCGTCTATTAAAGTGCAGACTTGTATCAGTCCAACGTAACGTAGTTCGTTCTGGTTACTAGGATATTGCATCACCGCGATGTATATCGTAGTTCTCTTTAGGGCACGATATTCGTTCAATGTCCAATTCCCCGTAGAATGTCCAGGGAATCATGCTTGCGGTGACGTACGTAATTATGTCCCAGTTGCGCAATCGTGTAAAACAAAATGAGCTATTACGTGATTTGACGTATTCCCATTAATGCTCTGCCACCACTGGTCAATATTACAGGTTCGATTAACGATCAATGATCGTGTATTCAAAATGTTCAATTCCTCTTCAAAATTAAGATATTTAATAGAGAAACGTGCAGGTCGCCTGTAATTTTATAAACGCGTTAAACAGCAATTTTTCATCTTCAATCGCAAAACATTTACAACCCGTTGAAATTGCGTGACTTTTAATCGCATGAATTATACGACAGATTTTCAAGAATCTCGACGATATTTGCCGCACGTTTCCATCGGTCGGCGTCAAGCTGTAAACACGGCCTAACTTCCTGGCTGGTGGTAATTTAATCAAGTCCTTAATGTTTGTCCGGACGTTTTAATATTTCACGGAAAACTATTCGGCTAAGTTAGCTCGTTCGAGCGGTAAAAGTATGTAAGGCTCGTTTGTCAACAAGTAACGGCTTCGAAACACGAACCACTGAAGACAGGCTGGCCTGGCTTACCCTGCGTTTAAGAGGATGTCAGCTTGAAACAAAGCCGATTAAGCGCTTAAGACCGAATCGGTTGAATGCCTAATTACGCCGTGAATGGTGTTCAAATAGATTCCTCTCGCCAGCAATAATACGAGCCCTCGACAGTTTTTCGTTCAAATGAATTCGTATCCACCCTATAGCGGCAGAGATTTCAGTATTTATTATATAGCTATATCACTTATTTAAATAATCAATATGGAACTCTGGAATTATTATAAAATTCCTGAAATACCAAAATGTAGAACGTAAACTGATAAATAATTAATAAACCGATATCGTGATAACATGTATCCTAATATTTGCATTAATTATGAATATGTATTTATTGAATTGCCTTAGTGTGCAATATGGTTTAAAAATAAGAAATTGGAATGTTTCTCTGCTCTGAATAAAGATGAAAATTTTTCAAGTTTTACTGTATCTTCTTTAAATACACACTGGTGGAATTAATTCTGGACACTGCATAAAAATATTCTTTATTTCATATTTCTGCAGTAAATGCGCCTGGCAACACGAAACAATGCATGATGTGAAATAGCCAATGAAAGGATATTCAACGAAATATTAATTTTTCTAATATTTAGTCTACCTCCTTTGGTAAGGAGGTAAATGGTCTTTTTACTGATTTTATTGACGCCCTAAAATTATAAAACAATGATCAGAATATGAAATATAAATGATTATATATTAAATAATGTAAGTGTCCAGAATTAATTCCACTAGTGTAGCACTTTCCATCATCGAACGTGTTCCTTTTTTCACCCACAGATTTTCAGTATTCCCGTGACGTTCACGTTGACATTTTCGAAGGAAGAATACAATATGATGGACTAAAACTATTATTTGCGAGCGACCGCAGCGAGACCTGATACTAACTGTCTGACCGCAACTACCCTCTTACTACTGGCTAACCACGACCGGTTCTATTACTACTGTTTGACCATGCTCGCCGGTAACTACTAGTCGACCACTGCGGCCGATCGATACTTATTCCTGCTCTTCCGTCATGCATTAACGCTTCCGTGTTTGCTGCTAACACGTATTTGTATCAGGACCGGAAAAAATTTCGCTTTGAGATACGAGCCTCGATTACTCTTGACGCTTCCTCGAAGCCGTATTCGGAACACCCGTCTGTGTTTCAGTAATGAAACTTTGCGTTTGTAACATTTCGTATCACGGCAAAAAATAAAAAGAAAAAAAAACGGATCCTAAAGGAATGAAAAATTCAATCGCGAGAGGAATGAAAGAATTTAAAAGAAAATTTTCAAAAAGAAAATCCCTTCTGAACACTTTCGTTGCAAATTGAAACAACTGTTCTCTTTTAAATAATGTTCATTGTCATCTTCACTATTTTGCAGCTTTTGTGTCTGCAGAAATGATCGATTTGAAATGAATAATCGCGGACAATTCAGATCAATCTGCCATTCTCCTTCTTTTTATTCTCTTATATTCACTCGAGGAATTGTCGTGAACCACAGAACACGATCACGGGACATTCCTATTCTGGTTAAATCGTGAGCGGAATATGGTACTAGGGTCAGGATACCGGTTACTATTCTCTGGCGGTGTTTCAGTGATTTAAGGAACGAACCAGCTTCCCTTGCTTCTAGTCACGTATCAGCAAGAAAGTGTACGATGATATATATCGCTAACATTTACTGACTTCGATCTTACTTCTTCCCCTGCGAACTGTCTTTAATAGCATTTTCATAGTGTAGCATATGTTCGGCGGGACAGTTGGAAACGAACGAAAATGTTATACTACTTTGACTCGAAAGTCATAATAATATTTA